TCTACAAGTATTGCATTACAACTAGCATCAAAGACATTGTTTTAACATTTGACTCTCAGGAATGATCAGCATGACAATTCTCCTAAACGTAAAGGTAATGAGAATGAACAAAGAGATCAAGATGGGGATGTGGCACTGATAAAACACTCTCTTCTCAGGAATAACCAGGAAAATTATATCCACTGGTCTTAAATTCTCTCATCTAATGACAATTAACCTTCAAATTAGCATGTGTTCTAAAGCTACAATGAAAAGCCCAACGCTGATTACCCCAGAAGGACAAAGGTCAAATTTAAAATAAACATTATACAGTGTCACACAAAATAAAATAAACAGTAGAGTCTTGCAGTGATAATTAAAAAGAACAATTAACTCTTAAATCATAATTAATATATGAAAATTTATATTCAGTTGCTTTCACTTCCGTCATTTCTGTTTAGTAACAACCATTGCTGACAATACTTTTCAAAACTGCTTAATTACAAGATTTCAATGATACTCATTCACTCTCCTGCCGATTGAAAGAATACACTTCTTACCAAACTTAATAAAATATTTCAGTTTTGATAAAATTTCTCTCCTAGTAAGACAACAATTCAAGTCATGAAGGATATTTTCCATTCTCTCCACAATAAAAAACAACCTGCTAAACTCCAAAGCAAGCTTCTTACTACAGCCCACAGCACCATTTGAAAATGACAACCTAATTGCCAGCCCCTCTAATGCTAAATGTGCTTGGAATTTAAAATTGAACACTTTCTTTAACAGATGGACAGCATTATTCTCACAAAGCTTCTTGAGCTGCTGCTCTGTACAGCTTGTCTTTTTTAGTTCTGGTCTTAGGGGAAAGCATTTAGAATAAATGTTAAGATCATGTTCTATCTTGTCAAGTTTTCTGTGGATCTGACATATCAAACTTGAAGCCCTGGCAACCCGACTTGTAACTGCAATATGCTGATAAGACACACTGTTTACACATTTTGTGGTCAGCTGAATTTTTGTCAGTTGAACAAGTCTACACTGAGAGTGATTAATAGTAGACACTGACCAGTCTTGTAAACAAGACCAACAGAATTCCTTGCGACAGAAGATGCATGTCATATGATTACAACCAAGACCCTTTTCTACAGGGTAATAACAGGAGGGACAGCGCTTCACTTGTACACTGGTAATCAGCTCTTTTTCCTTCCTTGTCGCAAATCGAGCATAAGATGCATTCTTCTGCCTGAACTCCCGAGCTTCCTCACAGGTAGCTGGCCAATGAGCATCTTCCTGGCACTTGAAACACCACATGGTACCACAGACACATGCCACTGGCATAGGCTGGACACTACCACTGTGTTCTGCATAACAAGTCTTGGAGGAGTCTTGAATTGTTGTTGCATTGACAACCAACTTGCACCGGTCTGCAGGGCACCATTTCCATTTGGGGCTCATCTCCAGCATGGTGTCCACCCTCTTTGCCAGAAGCCGTTCAAACAGAGATGGTGCGAGGGACATCAAGGTAATATCATCAACTGCTATGCTACACTCATGCCCAGGGCACCTCAGTTTCATTTGGCCCAGATCAATCTGGGTCTTCAAATGGACTTTCCAACAACTGTTACAGAACTTATGGCCACAGCCATTCAAGGACAGAAATGGAATGATGCCATCATGCTCTGAAACACAACATTTTCTTGATTCTCAAGACCTGATCATATTATCTAACTGGTTAAGTTGAAGCAATGAATGCAAACACTAAAGCTGAGCTCTAAAACATGATAGGAAACCACTGAGTAGCTAGACATTGTTTTCTAAGGACTCAGGGTTGTATCGAACCTTTAACTCCCATGAGTGACCAAGACAGAATTTCTCTTTACAATATCAAAACAATATCAACCAGATGAGTGATGAGAATAAAGAAAAATATCAATTTGGGGATAATTAGTTGATCCAATACTAAATTCTATGAACTAACATTATAAGAATTGTATGGTTGACAGAAAGGAGAATTACTAATTTGATCTGGGAGTTAAAGGGTTAAAAAGGTTTCATGCACGAATATCAACCCTATTGGGAAAATTGCTATCTTGGTACCATTTTTTATAAAGCATTAAAACTACTCCAACCGCTTATATGACATTTTCCCTAATTTTTGGTCATCCTGTTTAAAAATTCTCTTTTCATTCCCTTCCTTTAAGAAATTCAGCCAATTAGGGAAATTGTGCATAGAGAAAGTATATAAGCAAAGTAAAGTGAACAAAAAAAACATTGATAATATAAATCAAGTAATAATCAATATAGCTCATATCAGATTCTGAAATATGTGATAAATCATTCTTTCAAAAACAATTCTTTTAAAATCACTACTGAAAAAGTTTTCAGATAAACACAGCTAGATCAAGAAGGCAGGAGGGTAATCAAAATAATGCTTAAATGATACATGCTGGACCTTCCAAAAATAGTCTAATTTATCAGTCACATATACCTGAAAGCTTATCTTTGTCTTGAACCTCTTGGAAACAGATTCCACAAGATTCCATCATCACAGGATTGCTATCCAAAGGAACAGCGGCAGTGGATGTCCCTGGGTGGTATGTGACCTCTGAGAGACATTTCTTTATTTGATGTTTGGCTGTGTGAGATGAGAATGTCTTTGATGTCCATCCACACAGATCTTGGAAAACATCCAGTGACAGCCTTGGTTTCCGTGGCTCTTTGCAATGCACCTTCACACTTATGTTCTTTGCCAGCTCTGAATGAAAACTAATGGCCATGTCTGTGATTTCTTGCATGGTCCAAATTTTCTGATCAGTTTGCATCATACTGATCTGGGAAATAAAATCCTTGACAGTTTTTTCATAAGCATCGTTGTCTCTGTAAACAGCCATACTCATTACAGCTTTTACTTCACCTGAGTGGCACCTTGCATGGTCCTTAAGTATTCTGAAAGCGATAAAGACTTCATCACCAGTGGTCAGGGGTATAAGCGATGTTAAACTGAGGGCAAAAGTTCTGGGGAAACTAGAACCCTCCTTGTACATGTGAGGCCACTGTTGTGCAAGGGTCTCTGGCATAATTTCTTGCTTTCTCATCGTAAGGACAATGCCTTCATCAGTGTCTGAACTAGAACATTCCACTAGATCAGAACAGGTTTTAAGTAGTGGTACAGACTCATTGGCTGCTTTGCTACTTGAAACTGAAGAGACAGCTAGGTTTCTTGCACGACGACGCCTTTGCTTACCCACTTCAGGATTTTGATTTTTCTTGTTTGACTGTTTATGTTCTTCTCTGGAATCTAAAAGGGAAGATCCTGCCTTGATTTCCTCCAAGTACTCCAAATGCATTTGGTGCATTTCTATATCATCACTAACAAGGAAATGCCTCTTTGACTGTACTGGATCAATTTGTTTCTCCCTCCAATTTTTGTTCAGAGAAGACCTTTCTTTGCCATAATGTGTTTGTAGAACTGGTGTAGATTTTTTCATGAGCATGTTCAGGTCAAGGCTTGAAGATCTGTCCAATTTCCCTCCAAAATCCTCCTCAAATTCACTGTCAAAGTCAGTTTCAACCAGATCGTCATCATAATCTTCATCATAATCTTCAAGTAAGCAATCAGTGGCGGAAGAAAAGTTACAACTATTTTTCTTCTTTTTTCCATGATGACCAGAGGGTTTCTTGGGTTGTTTCAACCATGATGCTGAGGGATTCGGGTAGGTTACCTCAAACCGAGATTTGATCTCCTCGTCGTCTCGAAGTAAATCTTTTGAGTGTGCTAACTTACGTCTGGGTTTGCGCGACGTGCCATTTTTGGAATTGAACACAGAGATGCAGTCTGCTCGAGTATGTTTCCTGCCGCTTGCGCTCGCAAAGCGCTCGACCAACACAAGTTCTTCATCGAATCCAGCGCTAACACAGCTGGTCTTGATTACTTCCGGAAGAAGCCAACGATTGTGTTTTCCCAGTGAGTAGGTAATCGCTTCTTCTACACGTTGATTTTCTTCCTGGAGCGAACTGACGCCTGGAGAGTGTATCAGAAGTCCTTCGACTCTTCCACCTTTGATCTGAGAAAACTTAGATCGAAAAGTTCGTCCTGTACGGCCTGATTTTCCACGTTTCCCCTCCATAGTTGAATGTCCTTCTTCTCAACCGTTGTCTATGAACTGATTATCTTTTAGAGTAAAGGGAAAAAACTCAAACCTGATAAATAAGTCAAACATTTCTCTTTTATAGACGGTCAATTTAGCCATTGCGGTGTACGTCTCTACGATGGTGTAATTCGGTGTTGTCCCTATAAACTCATCTATGATTGGCTAACAAATTTATCGTCCAATAATCTTATGCGTACTAATATGACTCCTTGCTCAGAATCCTATTTTTAGTAACATTCTTCTAAGAACACCGTTACGTGACATTTGATAGTGACATACTTGATTCAGTTGAGTTTGAAACTTATTGAAACAAATAAAAACATGAAAAATATACAAATACGTAGACATGAATCAACACACAAAAATACGTACGTAAGTCAATTAAGGACAAATGACTAATCAAAATAGAAACGAAAGAAAAAATAAATGAATTTAGGTAGAAATATAATTGCAATTTATTTTGAATTTTCAAAGCATAATCGAATAGAATTCAATTTGGACCCTGCAACACTTGGGTTTTTTCGTTTTAGTTAACAAAAGTATAAATTCAGAGAGTGGTTCAACTCTAACAAACTGAAGCTTCGACGAAATCAAAACTTGTGTAATTCGTAATCCCCGCCAGCTTTCCTGAGCTATGTAAGGAAATTAAATCAATCGATCACAGGGAAAACCTGGAAGGTGCTAAAATATTTTTAAGAGTATTCTAGATACTAGTGAGCCAAATTTTGTTTTGGTGCTGTACAAAACGTTTAGAGCTAAAAATAAATCACGAGTTGATAATACGAATCTTCTGATTGGATAATAAGTCAGCAGCCAATCGTAAACTTGTTTTCATCAAATCTTCACCTACTGTTTACTTCTTACAGGGAAGTTGCACCACAGTTGCACTCACTAGTGTGAATTTTGCTTAATAATGGATTTTTGGAAGTATAAAAAGGGTTCGATTTACTCTAATAACCATTCAATATTTAGAGAAAACGGTTAGATGTTAGAAGAAAAAGGAAAAATGGTTTGGAAATTTGGAAAATTCGGTGCCAACAACGGACGAACTGTACGCTCGCGAAGTTCTCCGTCCAAAAGATCTGAGGGTCTTCTTATTCACACCACAGCTTTCCCTGAAGGAAGCCAAGATAAAACAGAGGTCACCACTTATTCGCTAGGCAAGCAAAATCGCTGGCTTCTTCCAGAAGTGATCAAGACAACTACCTCTGCGGAATTCGAGAAGGACGAGGTTGTTTTAGTGGAAAGATTCACCAATGATGGAAAAGATCGTCCGGACTGTTTGTCAGTTTACAGCTCAAAGGATAACAAAACTCGAAAATCCAAGGGCAGATTGGCTCGAGCTAAAGATCTGCTGGTTGACGTTGAATATGCGAGCACATGCTTTGAGGTGAGTTACCCCAGTCCATTGAGACCATGGCAGAAAGAGAAACATAGAAAGGGATCAGGGGTACGTTTCGAAACACGCAAGAAGAATTCTCGTTTCGATTGGAGTCAAGAGGAAGACTTCGAGGAGGTACATGAGGAAGATCTATCTTTCCACTGTATCGAGGAGGATCTCAGTGAACACTGTCACTCAAACAGCTTTGTTAGATCTATAACAATGGATTTTGATTCACTTTTGAGAACATCCCCTAAAAGGAAATCGAATCTAATCGAAAAGATTAAGACTTCACAGCAAATAAAAAATACCATTAAAAGCACAAGACTTTTCTCACCTAAAAAGCAGTGCATTTATGTGGACAGTGGAGATGATATGTACAATGCACATCAAGAACTTTTGACTCAAATCAGAGAGATGTCTGCATATAATAATGATTGTCGTATTCCTAACTCCTATGATGCCATTATGAATGACTGGGGTTATGATGTTAATATGGTTGACTGGGGTCATGAAGCTAATATTGATGACTGGGGTCATGATGCCAATGTAGATGACTGGGGTCATGATGCTAATGTGGATGACTGGGGTCATGATGCTCATATGGATGACAGGGGTCCTGTTGCTAATATTGATGATAGGGGTGCTGTGGCTAATATGGATGACAGGGGTGCTGTTGCTAATATGGATGACAGGGATCCTGTTCCTAATATGGATGAGTGGGGTCATGATGCTAATGTTTATGACTGGGGTCATGATGCTAACATGGATGATCAGGGTTGGAATTATGATTGGCGGGCACCAGTAAGAGGTGGCATGCACAGAGGAAGAGGGCGAGGAAGAAGGCATGGAGGAGGACGAGGAAGAGGTAATTGGAGACATGGAAGACGAGGAGGTTTCCGACGATTCAATCAGGTTGATCCTAACTTGTCCTTAGAATTAAACAATCCATCTTCAATTGGGAACAGTCATGGTAGTCAACACCAAGTACCTAGCACAGTTATGACACCAAGATCTGACCTGCCTGGAAAATGTTTGGAACCTTCATCAACAGATGTAATCCACCAGTACATTGCTCTTGTTCTTTCCCCAGAACAAACTAATCCTGCTCATCTAGAGGAAATGTGGGGTGAGAAGTACCTTGAAGCAGAGAGTGTTCCAAGGGCATTTGCACTCAAGGTTACACCACTAACATCTCAGGACATCAATGGAGAAGTTTTCATTCTTTTCCAACAGGGTCACAGGCTGACTAACTGGTTTGCATCTGTCACTTGCAGTGAAGAACACACACATACATCAGTGCTAACAGAGTTCATTTCTGAAATCAGGCTGAAGAGTGTCAGAAAGGATGTCTGTGGCCTTGCTCTAGAGGATATTGTGAACACTGCTAGAAACTGCTTCTGCTCAAACACCAATAGTAAAGCAGACATAGCAGAACCCAGGCTACCCAAACTGTCTTTTGATGTCTTTGCAGACCTGCTTGGTTGGAAGTCTAAGGCATTTACCTTGCCGAAAGCACGTCAGGAGATAAAGATGTTCCTGGGAAAAGAAAAGTTCTTGTCAGAAAACCCTGAACCTCTGTTTAGTACTGAAATGGAGTGTGGGATATGTTTTATGGAACTCAGCTGTAATGGTAAGTAACTCAAAGAGTAATTGATAACAACTGAAATGAGTTTCTGATGCTCAGACAAGGTCTGAGTTGTAATTTATGCTTGGTGTTTTGTTCTTTGCTTTTAGGGAAAAAAGAACAAATTAAATCTTTTCTTTGGCTTTTAAATTGTATTGTTGGCTTGCATTTTTCCATCAAATGAATCAGAAATGTATATCCTTCCTTAATTAAGTTATTTCTTTAATTAATTTCCTATCTAGTGCTTGATTACTTAAGTTAAGTTCAAACATTTTCCAACTTTTTGTAAAGACTTTCCACAAAGGTTTCAATTAAGCATGGTAAATCCAACACTTAATAGTTGTCACAATATCTAAAAAAAAGTATTACCTGAGCTACAATTTTACTCAATTATGAAAATTGGAAATAACTTACCTAGGTGTAAAGCACCAGCACTACAGTATTTGCCTGTGAAAATGCAATGTAAAAAGTAGGCATCTTTTTGTACTGGTAAGTTACCATTATGACTAGTGATTACAAGATTGAAGGTTCTTAAACTTTCTCCCTTAGATACTGATGTCTCCTCGACAACTTTGACCACCTGTGATCACACATTCTGTAACAGTTGCTGGAGGACTCACTTAAAGACCCAGATTGATCTTGGCCAAATAAACCTGAGGTGCCCTGGGCATGAGTGTAGCACAACAGTTGATGATGTCACCTTAATGTTACTTGCACCATCACTTTATGGATGGCATATGGCAAAAAGGGTGGACACCATACTGGAAATATGCCCCAAGTGGAAATGGTGCCCAGCAGACCAGTGCAAGTTGGTTGTCAAGGCAACAATAGCAAAGGACTCCTCCAAGGTCTGTAGCTCTGAGCACAGTGGTAGTGTCCAGCCTTTGCCAGTGGTATGCCTCTGTGGTAACACATGGTGTTTCAAGTGCCAGGAAGATGCTCATTGGCCAGCTACTTGTGAGGAAGCCCAGGTGTTCAGAAAGAAACATGAACGGTATGCTAAGATGGTTGAAAACAGCAAAAAAGAGACCCTGATTACTAGTGTAGGGGTTAAAAACTGCCCATTTTGCAATTACCCAATACAGAAAGGTCTTGGATGTAATCACATGGTCTGTGGTCTCTGTGGTAAAGAATTCTGTTGGTATTGCCTGCAGATCTGGTCTTCCCATGGTGATGTTTGCAAGGGGGTTGTTGCATTGCGAGAGGTGGTGATACCAGTGAATACAAAACACTTGAGATCATATGAACACCATGCTGTGATGTGTCACTTGGCCAGGTCACCAGTCCAGATACAACAAACTTACAAAAAACTGGATAACCTTGAAAAACGACAACAGTTTTATGACTCATGCTCATATAGATTTGACTCCAAAAAACATTGGCCTAGTTCTACAAAAAGGCATATGAGGGATCTATGTGATAGTGATATGTCACAAGATTTGCCACAAGTATTTGGTTTTAAATTCCAGGCCCTTCTTGCCCTTGAAGGTTTGGCAATGGTGTTGAGCTTCAAGAGAGACTCTCCAAACAAGAGGGTAGCACTGGAATTTGAAAGACTGTTATTCATTGTGGAGAGATTGAATGACTTACTCCAAGACTTTGAGAAAGGTCTCAAACTTGAGACTTTGGAAAGAATGAAAAATTTAGTAGCATGTGGCAAGAAATGTCTATGTGTTTTATATAGAAATACAAAAAGTGCATAATTTCTTCTTGATGTAAAATTTGGCTTTCTGAAAATCTTGCTTTCTTATTTCCTTTTTTGGCATTCATTTAGTGTTTATCCTCAGGTAAAGTTTTCTCTATTTTAGAAAGCTGTGAACTGCCAGGAAAATGTAAAGTTTGTGGACTTATCCATACCTTAAGAGTTTTCCATCATTTTCAATTCTTGGAAATTGCTTCTTACTTGAATTGCATGTAAATAGAAATGTTTATGAAGGTTAGTTTGATCAAATAACTAAATAAATTAAATTATTATAATAAAAATGAAAGAGTTTTTTTTTTTATGTAGAAGTGGACATGATGTACATAAGTATACTCTTCCCTCTAGTTTCTTGAAGTATGGAAGCCTAATTTTTTTAGGATGAAAGCACATCTGAAACTCATTCAGCACTCAAAGTATTTTCAGAGATGACTTTCCATTATGTAATAACATTGCAGAGTTTATGCCTCACAAAAAAATTCTGTGAAATCTTGGAACATTTTTCTTCCTCTTCATGCAAATAGCACTGATTGTCATTGTGTTACCGGTAACCAACATTTCAAATGTCCCGGAAAGTAAGAAGTCGAGGGCTGGGCCGGGAGAGGAGTATCGTTACAAGGTCAGTATCTGAGCAAATGCGCACGTATCCCTCACCTTACTCCACAACAGTCAACTGATTTGTCGTAGTACCCTCCCTCCCCCCCCTTGCTCTACAATTTCAAAGTGACAGGGTAAATTTCTCGATCGAAAACGCTTTAGCCACTAAGCAGTGGATGAAGGCAAATGAGCAGTCAATGATTTTTAAGAAGATTTAAAATGGTCGGTAATAAAATATAACATCCGACAAATTTTGTGGCTCCTCGTATGTATAGATAGACGAAATTACGAATTACGCCGTTATTTCAACGCCGCTTTCCCACTCACTCCCATCCCCATGGAATTCTTTTGTGATTTTTTGGGTAAGGTCATCCAAACAAATTAAACGGTAAAATTTCCGCACAGCCCCATACTACATTATGCATTCAGTTCTTGGATAGAGAAAACAACGACAAAAACAATACATTGCCCTTGGGAAAACAGATTTGTTTAACAATAGTATGGGGCTGTGCGGAAATTTTACCCAATTATTTTTCTTGAGCTTTGACTAAGCTCAAACAGTTCATTATTTGACCTTTTCTTCAAATCTCATGATGAACGCATTTCGCACTTTGGCCATCACGAGTTTGATGACTTACAATGAAAGTATTGCCGGAGACAAGACTCACCGGAAAGAACCGGAAGTTGACCTAACACTTCTATTGTTCGTGGGCTCATGATCTGTCACAGGTCTTTCGTACCTCAGACAGTGTTTCATCGTTCGTTGGAAAGCTAGCTGCAAAGGAATTCTCTTACTGAGATGCGATGTTCTCGCTTTTATGGATTCTGTATCTGTCGTTGATAAGTGTGTTTGTTGCACTCATCACTTATATTATTTTCTTCCGCAAGGTAAGCAAATTTAAAATTGTTTTAAAAAGAGAATTTTAGAGGTCGAAGAGCAAGATCAGCTGAGCGCTGACAATGATACGGTAATTATACTTGTTCATGTGGCGTTTACCTAAACTGATCTTTTTCCTTGCACTTTTCAGGGATCTATCCATGATAAAACTTCTGCACAGGAAAAAATAAAGTTCATCAAAAAGGTATCTGTTTTTTAGTTTCCTTTTTTTCTGGGGGTGAGAGATTTGTTTACTACTCGATCTGGTTCGATATTTTAACCCAGTACGCGGTTCTACAGTGTATTTTATTCGTCAGCATATCAAGTGTCAAGCGCTCAACCATCTAAAACCCTCAGGTTATGTTTGTTAATTCAAAGAGACGTTCACGTGAAAAACAATAGAGCTTATGTCACTGTCAATGAATTTCTACGTGAAGGAAACTTAATTCATTGCTCGTTCAGGATACGTAAATGTGAGCTTTAACAGGCTGATGTTGCAAATTAGTTACAGTCATAAATTATTAAGCCTTAAGGACAATATTACATCAATCGATCAATCAGTTTAGATTATCTAAATTTCACAAAAAAAGCATCCAGAACAAAGAACAGTGGTGTAATATTTGAGCATGTAAATAGTAAATAAACTTGAAGTGGTTCCGCAGTCATTAATTTGCCCAGACTTCAGCTGTGTTTCTTTGTCACATTAATTCATTAATGATCTGTACTTTGATATGACTTTTACTGACTTTTACAATATTCATAGAATTGGTAAACTTTTAGTGGAGTGGTAATATGATCCTCAGTGTTGTGGGTCTGAAAATAATTAAAGAATTTCAGTATATTGCTTAGGGTTATTAATAAATTAATCTTTTTTTTTTGTTTGGGAATGTTTGTGATAAAAGGCCCTTGTATCTTATTAACAATAGATAAAAAAAGGAGTTGTTGATTTTGCCATGTTTTGAATTTACTTGCACTGATTGTTCTATGGTAAACAAGGTGTGAAAACACCAAATATGGATATACTAAAAAAATTGCTCCATAAATTTTGCTAAATGTTGATAAATCTTTTTGTTAGTTATATTTTGGAAGCTATTAGTATAAAATTATTTTCAGTTAGTTATGATTATTTCTGATATTGTTTTTAGAAAACATTTCAGTCACAGAGCTTAGATATTGTTTTCAGGTTTGAATGGGTAATATTTTTAGAAATTATGACAATTTTTTGTTGCCACGCTAATCTTTATAATGATATGATACTTGGATCTAGTGATTCAGCAAGCTCAGTTTTGTGGATAATTTTTGAAGAACATGTGGTCTTACTCATGAGAAACATGAGAGACTTCAATCATAAATTTATGGCTTCAAAGTAACATTTTTCTGACCATAGGTTGGCATGTTAATAAGTCATCGTTCATCATTAATTTCTCATAGTCTTGATTTTTTTAAATCATTTTCCTAGCATGTTCCTCCTAAGGCCTCCAAAGGCTGGCAGCTGAAGTCTGTTGACAGTGGTTTGAGAATCTGGCAAAAGGACTTGGGAGGAAGTACCCCTCCCTGGATGTCAAGAATAATTTATGCATGTTCTGGAATCATTCCTGCATCCAAGCAGGTAGCTGTTTAAGATGTACAATTAGTACCTGTATGTAAAATAATTTTTACAATTGTTCATAGACAGTGTGATTTTATGAGTTACTCTTCAGTCTCATATTAGTATGTGTTAAATGAATTTTACAGAAAGGCGAGGTAGGGTGGTATTTCTAGTGCTCCCTTTTAAATTTGGTACACCTATGTGAACCTCTCTATACAGAGAATTGAACATTTAGGAGAGTTTAAGTACCTGGGAGAGGAGTCCCTATTATAAACTCAGACTGGTATATTACCAACAGTAGTCATTATTAAATATCGACATTTTCTTGAGATATTATGTAATGTTATAGTTATATAACATTATTATGTAATGTTATAGTTTGATGAGAGGAAAGTTACATGCAGGCAATAAATCCAATCTTTAATAATTTTTTATCATGAGTTTGTTATTTTTGTCAAAGAATTTATCTGACTACATGTGGCTCTCTTGAATGTTACTGAATAGGAGGTGATGAAAGTCTTAAAGCAGCCTTTTCTTTTATTGGAGTGGGATCCTTCAGTAAAGACTGTGTCACAGGTTACAACCGGCAACAATCAGGATGTTGTGTCAGTTTCTTTTAACTGTAGCAGTTTTTTGGCAAGAGCTGTGCTTCAGTTGAGGGAAATGTTTGGTGGAGAGACGAAAGCAATTTATTCAAGGCAAGTAAATTCTGAAAGTTTCAGTATCCTTTTATGTACAGGTGAATATAGTCTGTAACTGAAAAAGATTCTTGACTTGTAATTAGCTTGCTATTGTTTCAAACCCTTTCCACACAAGATCTGATTGTGAATTCTCCCTTCTTGGGTGTATGAATCTCCTTATAAATTAGTGGCAATAATTTGGTGTTTGATCAAGATATCAACCTCTACTGGATAAGTTTGAGTATTCTCATTACCTGTTTGCTGGATAATTTATGGATATTTTAGGGAGGAGTAATATTTTGCCACTTATGGGAGTTAAAGGGCTTAATGATCTCATGATCTTTCTGTTTGTCATTTTTAATTTGTGTTTAATATATATCATAGGCACTGGGATACAGACTTGAAAACAAAGTCTGAAGCATGGTTTGTTAGCTCATTCGTTGAACAAGTCATTCCAGCAGAAGGCTCCTTGTTGTCATGCTTCTTAGTGTCATCTATGAACAATGGTAAGATGTCAAAAATAAAATTAACCTTTCCACATATAACTGATGTGTATATTGTAAGAGACATGGTGGTTTTTACATTTAGGCACACTGAACTCTGGGAGGAGGAGTCCTGGGTCCAACCCTAGCCTGGGTTATTGAGTTATTTTTCTGGGTGCCGGACACTTTACCCTGATGAGATCTCTTTCCATCCAGGAGTTATATAAATGGGTTAATACCAAATTGTCATGGAATCTTGACAAAATGCAAGACATCTTACTCAACTTCTTTGATTGTGCAAATTCATGACATAAAGGAACCAATTAGATTTAAAATTAGTTGTGACTGTTGTAATTTGCTTCAAAATTCTTTTCTTTTCAGGAGATGATGAGCCAAGTGAAAGTCTAGTCTCCTTAATTGTGGCACCTGTATCAGAACGTTTTGCATCAATACCACAATTGACAGTATCTCGCGTAGCAGGACTACAGGATTTCTTTACTCATTACAAACCTGATCAGTCTCATGCTAATTCTGTTGGATCAGAACCCAGCAACATAAGTTTGTCTGGGAGTGACAATCATGTCACACAACTAGAATCCATTAACCAAACAGGTGAGTCATGTCAGTAGTGTTTACAATAATATCTGTGTGACCTGATTGTGATTTATATACTATTCCAGGATTAAACATGTGTGATACAGGTGGTTTGATTCAATTACTGAATGGTCTCATGTGACAAAGGTGGTTTAATGCAATTATTGAGTGGTCTCATGCCAGACAAAGGGATAAGTTCACTTCATGCCATTTGATCGCTTAAAAAGTAGTATCTTGTCAGAACTGATAAACTTATAGAGCCCTACTAACAACACAGTTATAGTATGTAATCACAGTATTTTTAAATGCGTTAAGCTTAGGTGACATGTAAAGTACTGATAAACAGTTCTTGTGTTCTCTTAGCATCAGGATTAGGTAATGACACTGATAAAATGACGAAAAATGTTGCCTTTTTCTTTATACAAGTGTTGTCAATGAATATTTTGTTTAACTATTATTGAGAGTGGCAGTCTCATTGATCTGTGCATCCAGACTGATGAGCACAAGATTGATTAATTCAGTCAGTCGCACCTTCTGTCAGGTGTCCTTAGGATGGGAAACACTTTCAGTTCTTAAAAGCTTCGTTATGACATATGGTTAACATGTGCATTTTAAGACACATCTCAGTGTGGATGTATGGTAAATGGTGCAGTTTACATGACATTGTACACTTAGTTCGTGTAGTGTGATCGTCCGGGTGAGTGTAGTTCTGAAAAGAACTGTTGTTGGTGACTGACGTTTCGACAATCTGTGCGATAGTCATCTTCAGAGTCAAGTGAGGAGTAGTTGTCAGTCGATGATGTTATGAAGTCTGGTCTGTTGAACGTGATTGGTCTGTTTAGCCGTGATGTGATTGGCTGGAAGACTCGAAACTGAAACAGCAGTTACCGACTACCTTACTCGACAACTGGGTCAGGAACATCTCTTCCCGTCCCTTAGACAAGACTGAGACTCAAATACTATCTTACGGACTGAAACACTCAGTGACGCCTAAACGCATACCGACCGAGTCTATTGTATCTAGTGTTGAGGCGGCTCTTTCTCGTCAACGAGACTTATCAGAACCTGCCAAGGACAACATCAGAAGTAGAATTGCTTCCACGATACAATCAGCCTCTATAACTGACAGCAACTTAACCAAAGACGAACAACAAGCACTGAAACGACTGAAAAACGACAAGAACATTGTTATACTACCAGCCGACAAAGGACGTGTTACTGTTGTTATGGACAAGACTGACTACTATGACAAAATGGACGCACTTGTTAACGACAAACAAACTTACGAATTACTTAAACGTGACCCAACGCCAGCACTACAACGCAAACTCAACAACAAACTACTTACGCTCAAAAAGACTTAAGCCTTTGACACTCAACGCTACTACCGGCTGAGGTGCTCTGTACCACAACCAC